AAAAAAAAAAGAAACTCGTTAAGCTGGAAGTTACTTTTGAAAATAAAAGTAACTCGTTAAATAACTTAGTTAAAAGTAACTTAACTTTTTAACTCGTTAATGCCCAGCCTTGGAAATAACCTCTTGATATTTTGAATTAATACAAACCACTTCCTACAATCCTGATTGTAATTCATCATTTGGTAATCCAAATAATTGTGTTGGTTATATTTTAACATTTTTATGTTAATTTCAAATTTGAAAAAGTATTGACTTCAAGTTTGAATTTATGTGAGATGTATTAGATAGTACAATGTCAAGTATAACAAATTTTTTATCTAATATTACGAGTTATAGTTAAAATTTAAATTACTACTCATGTGAATTTTGATTTGACACATTTTCAATACGACCATAAATAATTTGCAATATAAAGAGGGGGGTGGGTGTTCATTTGGAAAATTGAAGTTTGTATCGCCACAGGACATTCCTTAAATTAAACATAGAATATTAGGAGTTTAAAAATATGGTGTTCTGGTATCCTTAAAAATTCTAAGAAATAAAATTATAATTAATAATATGAACTAGGATTGAGATAAGTATGCTTAAAAATAATTTTGTGTATTTAATATTTTCATTTTAGTAAACAGGTTTTTTAGATTTAATTTTAATTGGTCTTACAGGGTTCAACAATGTCTCAAGACAATAATTGGATGACCAATATTAGTCATGGTGTACTACCACCGACTCAGCTAGCCGGTAGAACGACGCCAGTAATTGGGTGAGTGTAATCAAAATATTACAATCATCAAATTTGTAAATATCTAAAAATAGAAAAATAATAACTTTTGCTTATAGAAATACTGTCTCATACCCCAATGTACCTATTAGACAATGCATGACAACTGTATACCATCCAATGACCAATAGCAATGTGGTGTCACACTTAAATCAAAATCGACAATTATACAGTCAGCGTGCTATTAACAATATCCAAACCCATCAACAGATACAACAGCAGCAACAACAAAATCATTTAATTACCACTCCTCAAACTCAGCAGTTATATAGTGGTCAACATGTGTATAGTCGTTTCAGCAACACTCAACAGCGCAACGCCTTGAGGAATGTTGGCCCCGTTGTAATCACTTCAGCCTCTGAAGTCATTGATTTATCAACTCCACCATCTAGCCCAATTCCTTCAACTGTACATGAGACTTTTCTACGTGCTAATGTTGGATTAGAATCGACAAGAATACCTGAACGGATCTGGTCACATCACACATCAAATAGCTCTGCATACAAGGTTATAATAATTATATTCAATACTTACAAAGTTACAACTACAAAAATTGAAACATTTCATATAAGTATTCACTATATATAAAAGTTCTAACTCATTATATAAACATTAGCTTGTGTAGAGATAAATTGAGTTGATCAAATTAAAATAAAATAAAATATCTTACAAAATTAAAACAAAATATATTTTAAAAATAATTTAAAAATAAATTAATATTACAAAAATTGATAAGTACAGGTATGGTCATTATATAAAAAAATTCATCTAAGTTAGAACATTAAGTACATATTTTTTATACTGCTAAAAACATACCTTGAAAAACATTTGTTATGTTTACATWATAATATTGCATACCTTTACTTATAGAGCTTTGATTACCAAAATTAGAGTTATTAATGGAACATTGAGGTTGTTATTATATTTTATGTTCATTTAATAAGAATGTTATATTTGATAATCGTTAATAATAGTTTAAATTTTAACTATTTTATTTTTATAATCTTATGTCCGTATGTATTTCACTAATACATAAATACAAGTGTATGTAATATATATTTTAATATATTTGAACACAGATTCTTAAGACATCACTTCAAGGACAATTAATCTACTGCATAAACGCCAAACCTTTCATATATTCAGATTTGATGGTGACCTTAGAGGACTTAGTTCAGATGATGTTTCTTCCATGTACTGTTGCGAAATGCGCTCACATCTTGAACAAATACTTAAAAATTACGCTATTCAGTGGAAATTCGTATGTATCTGCTTCTTCTCTTTTTAATCATCATCATTATCCTTCAAATGGGTTTAAAATGACCGGTTGTATTAAGGCGTTGGTTGCAACACGCACCATCACTGGTTCAAATCCCGGTCATAGGCGGCATCGCTTTCCGGACAGTTCTCGCTGTCTAGAAAAGAGAGGCCGCTGCCCCACATCCGAGCATGGCAGAAACCTAAGGGTGCCCATTCGAAATTCTGCCAAAAACATCCACGAGTTCCAAAAACCAATAGTTCCTTCTCCACAGTTAAGGATGACACCAAAAAAAAATCCTCCAAATTCTCATCTAACAGTGATTAAAAGGTGTTGGTAAATTTTATTTTTTGTTGGATTAACAGTGAGCAGTTGGAAGTGTTGCGGGTTAATAGACGTTGCAGGTCAATATACCCAGAAAACACCCTGATGGCCAAGGTGGGAGATATAGCGCGGGTGATACTACAGTTAAGGTCATTGGTGTCCAAGGATGATGAACAAATACAACAATTATACCAATATGCAGGTGTATCGTCAAAGAGACAACGCACCTACTAAGAATGGGCCAGTTACAGCAGAAGTCAACCCTGCTGTAGTTGGTGGTAGACAGCAGAGGCAGTGGCGTTGACATTCCACCATTCACTCACAGCCATCACTTGCTTGTACCCATTGACAACGACAATTGGATTAATGCTGGTGCTGATTCGTCTSAATTGCTACACCCACCACACCTGCTGATGCTTAATACCTACCAGAACCAAAGTAACTGCCCCCATCCTCTCACTATATATGTAAAAATTATTAAAGCAGCATAGTTATTTTGTATKTTTATGATCGTCAGTTCCGATCATCTCATTAATTTAATAAATCTTGGAGTATTATTATTTTTTATTAACTGAATTCCTGTCAAATTGAGGTTATATTGATTGACAGTGAGATTCATTCTTTATACCAATATAGTATTTTATGCTTGGGTGTTCTGTTCCTATAAATAGTGTGTGTACATTATTTATAGTACTTACCWAATAAAATACACAAACTAAAATAATATTTAAATACATGATTTCTGTGTCATAAGAGTATTATGATTTACTATTACAATAACATTGTATATTTAAATGTTATGATCATTTTGGCCTTTGTCATTTTTCATTATTTCTTATCTTTACATTTGTTTGAAGTATTTTACAAGTATTGAACAATCTTAGTTTGAATATTATACTGAACAGTGAATATTTATATATTTTATTTATATTTAACTTTTGTACTGACCAATAAAAAAATTGGAACTTATTATTTCAATTAATATTGTTGTTTTATTTTGCATTAAAAAAAAAAAGTAGAAATCTCCTAGTGTCTATTTACATATATACCAATGTAATATATCAAATATGAGGTGTAAAGATAATTTTCTTGAACACAAATTCGATCTAATGATTCTTCCGCGAATCAATGCTAAAAATTGTGTGTCGATCGGAGTACAAGTGTGCGTTGACAATTGTTAGATAATTATAATTGTTGATTACCAGGGCTCGAGAYTTCTAGCACTTAAAATCCTTAAAATATGCGCTATAATATGCTTGAAAAAATGGTAAAATATGCACTATAATATGCCCAATAAAAAAATTAAATATGCTCTAAAAAACATTTAAAAAAAAATTATTTTCATTAATTCTAATAATATTTATTTTTAATCTAATTCTAAAAAATAATTGGCGTCTGCACTGAAGTCATTATGTAACCGTGGCTTTATACGTTTTAACATTT